CTTTTTTTTCGGTAAAAAAAATCGAGTAAAAAAAAACTTTTTAAAACTTATATCGATTTCAGATGATGATGATCATCAGAATGATGATGATGATGATAGCTGATCGATGATGATCATCATCATCATTGAAGGCCCGAAAAAACAAGCAAAGAATTCAGTTTGGTTCGATTTTGTTTGTTTGTTTTTGACATGATTCTCGTAAGTTTATCTTTTCTTATTTTCATTATTATGGCCGGGTATATTTTCTCCATATCTCTTGCTGTTTCTCACTCACTTTCAGCCAATTTAACTTTTTCTTTTCCTCACCAAAAAACAAAAAATTTTCAATTCCCGTTTTTTCTTGTTTTTTTTCAACTTTTTGTTGTTGTTTTGTTTAAATTTTTTGTACAAATACAATTTGTTTGTTTTTCAAATCAGGTGTGTGTGTGGGTGTGCGAGTACCTATTTCTATGTTTTCATCAATTCTTCTTCTGGTTATTCGGAATTTGTATTTTTTCGGATGTTTTTAGAATCTTGTTTTTCATCAAAAAAAAATGTTTTTAATTGTTTTGAATTTGATATTTTCCCCCACTATTTGCATTTCAAGTTGCAAATTAAATTTCAAGACACAAAAAAAATCGAAAAAATTTCTTTTTTGTTTGAAAAAGAAACTTTTTCCTCCAGAATTTTTGTTTCTGTTTGATGCACATTCGTCTGGTACAAACAAAGATGTGTAGAAAAAAGTTTAAAGTTTCAAAGTTGTATCACAGATAAATAAATTTGAAAAAAAAGGAAAGGAATTCAAGCTAAATTCTAGTAGAATCTAGATACTAAATATATAAAATGTCTACGTTTTTTTCAAACTATTTCGGAAGTGCAAATTTCTCTCTCTCTTCATTTCTTTCAAATGTGCATGAACTTTGAAGATTCAAGTTTCAAGTTTTTTTTCTGTTTCCAATTTTAAAGTTTGATTTAGGTTCAGCAGCATTTGAACTAAATAATAATAATGATGGTGAGGAAAGGAAAGAAAAAACGAACGAAGAAACAATTTTATCCAAAACGAACGAAAAAAAAAAAATTCTTAACCATTCAGGTTTTTGTTTCGGGGGATATTTGGTGCGAATACTTTTCGGCGTCGTCGTCGTCGTCGTTGTCATTCTTCATATAGTCAATTCATATGAGAAACGGGCCCAATTTTTATTTCGGCTTCAAGAAATAATTTTATCGTTCTCTGTTCCTTCCATTGTTGATTGTTGTCGTTGATGAAGAGAAAGAAGAATGAGAACGAACCAAGAAGAAAAAAAATAAATAACTAAACACAGTGAATTTTAGCTTTGGTGTGTTCCAAATTTCCAACAACGACGAAAACGACGATAATGTTGAATGAAAAATTGGAAAAGAATTTATTTTTTTTTTTGAAGCATGTTTCGGTATTTACCCTGTATATATGCGATGAATTGAAAAGAATGGCTCAAAGAATCTGGTCCATTCAAATTTCAAATTACGCATGATCAATTCGAATGTTTTTTTTTTCGTGTGTGTGTGTGAGTAACAGTACATTTTTTTCCGATGTTTTTGACAACGGTGGCGGTATATGTCAAAATAGAATCGAATCGAATGTGCTCGACGAATGAGAATCATTATGAGAAACTCGATTCTGACTATATAATTTTGTCTTTGAATGAATGTATAGAATTTCCAAACAACATCAAGAAAAAGTAAGTAAAATAAAATTCTTCAATCGACGAAGACGACGATGATGATTGAAGAATTTCATTTTCATTGAAAAGAAAAAAAAATGCGCCTGTTCTTATTTCAATATTGTCTGCGTTTGTTCCATCATCCATACATGTGTGTTGTGTGGGTGTATCATCATCATCATCATCTGGTTCCTTGTACCAAAGATTCTTCAACATTTTCAACATCATCATAGTAGTGTTTGTGTGTCGGTTGATTGTTGTTCATGCCAAAATATAATGATCAGTTCCAGCAGCAACAACAACAATAACAACGACAACAGAATGATTTCATCTTGATCGGTTTTCATTTCAATTTCAGAAATTTTTTTCGTCTTCTTCTTCGTTTTTTAATTCAATTCAAATCATACATCATCATCATTGTTAGAATTTAAATTATCGTTTTTTTTGTTGTCGAAAAAAAAGTTTTTCATTTCGTTATTCGTTTGTGCGTGTGTGGGATGTGTTTTGAATTTTATTTTTTTCAATTTTGCTTGTTCTTTTTTTCTTCTTTTTTCATTTGAAATTTTGTAAATGAAATGACATCCTGTTTTTCACACATACACATTTATCGAATGAATTTCATTTTCTCATAGTGTTCGTGGCTGAATGTTAATTGTTCTTCGATAGTGTCCATTATGTGAGTGTATCAATGATCTGTTTCATCAAAAAAAATGATTTAGTTTATCAAATGCATAATGTCGTAACAGGAGATAATTGATTTTTTTTTTCTTCAAAATCAATTATAATTTTTTTCGACAGCAACAAGGTTTGTTTGTTTTGTTTTCTTTAAAAAATATTGATTGTATTCCAAAAATAGAAAAGTTTTTTGTTCAATTTTTTATTTTGTTTTTCTGTTGTTGTTCAAATAATTATTGAAACCTTGAAAAAAGTTGCCATTATCATCCTCATCATCAGCAGCGAAAAAAAAGCAATTCAATTTTCATTTTGCAGAAAATAGATTCAATGGACAACGATTGAATTGATGATGATGAAGATGATAAAACTATTTTCGATACTTTTCCTATATTCTCATGATGTTTGCGGTTTTTTTTCAACCCCCTAAAGAAAATTTATTTTTTCCAGTATCCTGGGTATACTTTTTTTGTTTTGTTTTGTTACTCTTTTTATCTATTTGTTTGTCTTAACATTTTTTTTCTATTTATCATTATTATTATCATAAGCACGGAATATTCATTCATTCATTTCATTTCATTCATTGGGTTGCCATGTCTATGTAAATAAAAAAAAACAAAACAAAAAACAGAACAGAAAATCGAATCGTCAATCAATCAACAAACACACAGAGAGAACGAAAATTCACATTTTTCGTTTCTTTCGTTTTTCAGTTTTTTGTTGTTGTTCATCGATTCGATTCGTTTCGTTTCGCGGTCGAATGAATTGACTATCTTTTTCTAGACTTTTTTGAACATTTCGAAATTGTAACATATTTTTTTCGCTAACCACCCACCAACACACCACCATTCTTTTTTCCATTTAAAAAGGAAATTGATTTCATTTCCGTAGAATATTTAAGATTTCTTCTTCTTCTGTTCATTATGAATTTAGGTCATCATCTTTGAATATTATCATCTTTTTGATTACTAAAAAGAAGAATTTCTTAGTTTTTTTTTATTGTTTGTTTGTTTGTTTTTGCAGAACTATTTTAACTCAACGCGATGTTCATTTGTGTTGATTGATGATGATGATGATAGATAGATAGATAAGCAATCAATACACTGATATAATCTAATCACAATTTTACTGATTTTGATTTTTTCATGTTTAACTTGTTTTTTTTTGTTTGTTTGTTTGTTTTCTTTCATTTGTAATTCCAAAGAATTTTCAATGGAATGAATACGGAAAACAACAACAACAAGAATAATCCTTAATGAATGAATGAATGAATGAAGTGAGGAAACGAGACAGAAAACAAAACCAAAAACCAAAATTCAAACATCAAGAAAAAAAACCAATAAGCTGAATAAAGTGAATATAATAAGATGATAGAATAGATAGCAAATAAACAGCTACAATCCGATTGTCTGTGTGTGAAACCCTTCTATTTTCCTCAAATTTTATTTTATAACAAGGGTGGTTTGTCCAAACAAACAAACATTTTTTCTTTTCACTTTTCGTTGTTAATGATGATGATGATGATGATGACTGCTTATATAAGTTTACAATGAAGTCTTGATCTTCATCAATTCTGTTTGTTTAGTTAGTTATTTTTTTCTGGGTCTGGTGTTTGTTTTACGCCCATTTTGCTTTTCTTGATTCTTGATTCTTTTTCATTCATCAATGATCCTCGAAATGAGTCCTCACCCAAAACAAAATAAATTATTAAATTCTGTTTTCCATCTTTGTTATTCTTTTTTTCTTTTTATTCTTTCAAATCAATTCTGTTTTGATAAGTTATTCTTATTTCATTTAGTTTTTCATTCAATTCTGATCAAAATGATTAATAATTTTTGCTTTTGGCATTTTTTTTTTCTCTCTCTCATTTGGGCATTATTATTCATCATTTCATTTCTTTTTCTATTCCATTTCTTTTATAGATTCTACATACATACATTTTTTCCGTAAATGAATGAGTGTGTTTATGTCAATTTGTTTCATAAGTTTTTTTTTGACTGAAACATCGACTTCATCGGGATATTGTGTGTATGTGGAACAATAGTTTCAAACGGATAATAATGATGATGGTGATACGTCATCTATTGACAGGATAGAAAAAAAATATAAGTTTTCTTTTCATGCAATACATATTTATCAACGAAAAGAAAATAATGACCATAATCGCAAAAATGGCTTCTGAATATCTACGACGAATAAACGATAGCAGCAGCGACGATACAAATATTGTTGATTATCATGACCCAAAAATTCAATTATTATCATCATCATCATCAGAATCGATAAAACGACAACAGATTTTATCAACATTGTCAACAGAAATCGATGATACAGAAATTCAATCAACAACAACAACACCGACAACGATAACAACAAAATCATTGAATTCAATTTTGTTGAAACGAAATTTTCTAGTTGTTGAAAACATTTTCAATGATAATAATGATGTTTATTATAATGTGAATATTTCAACAGCTACCAATAATAGTGATGATGATAATAATAATAATGCATTGGTTGTCAATATAATCAATAATAATAATAATAGTATTGATAATAATAATGAATTCAATGATAGTAACAGTGATTTTCAAATGAAAAAGTTTTTTGTTCAACAACAACAACAACAACAACAACAATGTAACGATGATGAAAATAGTCCTCGAGCAATAATGGCAACAACAAAAAAGTTATTGACAGTTTCAACATTTCCATCATCATCAACAACAACAACAACAACAATGAAGACAAATTGTCAAACTGAATTAGAATTTCAATCACCAGAACCACCCACAATAACATCATCATTAATGATGATGATGATGATTAACAACGTTTGGCCAAAATGGTCATCATCATCATCATCATCAACAACATTACAATCAATAAACTATGGAAATTATCGTATTGTTATGTCGATCATATTCATTTTACAAATATTATTCATCAATCATCATATTGATTCTTGTAAGTTTAATAATATTTTCCTTTATAATTTAGATGTTTAAGTGGGTGTTTGTGTGTGTATCTTTTTCGAAGAAATTGATATTCTACTTTTGCACTTTTTTTCCTCGTAAAGCAATCAAATTATTTTTTTAACAAGAATTTGAAATGGTAGAATTCTTTCGACTTTATTTTTTTTATCAAGAATTTGAAAGAATTGAAATTCATATTTTTATAAATATTAATGTAATGGATGCTTCTGTATGTCTTGCTGTTTGTATTATTATTGTTTCGTTTTCTGTTGCTGTTTCGATAGAAAGATACTAGTAATAAAAATGATCATTTTTTGCCGAAACAATGTTCAAACATGGGTAGCATTGTTACTTTATTCTGTTTTTTATCTTTATTTTCATTATCATTCGATTATTATTATGTTGCTGTTGTTTTGAAAAATTATCATCATTTTGATCCAATAGATCTTTTATTTTATTTTCAAATAAATATATTTAGTTGGTCAAATAAAGAAAGAAAGAAATATAAAAGTCATATATGAAAATCGATTATTATTCGATTTCGATTATAAATATCCAAAAAAAAAGAATCACATTTCTTATGATAAACTTATGATATTGAGATATATAGAGTAGAAAAAAAACAGACAAAAATGATAATGATGGCCTAAGAAACAGAAAAAGAAAAGAAATATATTTTTTATTTGAAAAAAATTACTCGGTGATCCAGAACCAAAAAGAAAAAACGATTCACATTTGGTCGACAATTTCATATCAATATTTCTTTCTTTCTTTAGACCATAAATAGACAATACACATTTTAGGTTTATTTTCAAATCCAATCCATTATTATTATCATATATACTCTTTCACTTAAAGATAGATTCAAAATAATAATAATGATATGCTTTTTGTTTCATTGCTGTTTTGTTTCTTGTATGTCTAAAAATATGATTTGAACCATTGAAACCGATATATATTGTGTGAGATACACAATTGGGCCAAATTCATTCTTTTTGGGTCCAAACATTCGATAAATAATATTTTGAAGAAAAAAATCCTATGAGAAAGTTTAGAAATTTGTTTTTGTATTTGTATGGTATGTGTATGGTCGTTACAATTGTTTCAAATTGTCGTCAATATTATCCGTACTACACACACACACGCACATATTATATTCTGTGATTTCTTTTTCCATTTATTATCATAATTCGAATGCCATTATTTTTGATTTTTTCTTTTGGCGGAATTGTATTTCCTATTGATTTGATATTGCCTATTTTTTTTCTTTGATTTCTCTATTTTTATTGATTGTCGTTGTTGTTATTTTTGCACTCATTTCTCATGTGAATAAAACACAGATGAAAATTCTGATATTCAAAGTAACCAAGGACTTATTTTTTGAAGGTGTTTTTTTGTATTTTGTTTTTGAAACAAAGTCGATTATGTGAAAATTTTAAATTGAATTTTATATTGTTCAAATTGATGATGTTTCTTGTTGTTTTCAAATCATTATTGATTGATTAAAAGCTTTCAATTGATTGGATTTTTTTTTCTGCTGGTGCAAATATTTGATTGAATTTCAGTACAAAAACAAAAAATTGCCAATGTCCACAATGTTATTGATGGAATTTTTAATTTGTTAAATTTTTTTTTTTTGTTGAAAAAAATGAAATTCTCTCCCTTGATAATATAATGTTGACATGATTATAACGTATAGAATGTCAATGCAACAAACAAACAAGCAAAAATTGAATCTATTTCAAATGTATTTGCCTCCTATCATCACAAAAAAAATATTATCATTTTATTTTGTCGTTTGTATTTGAATTCATTGGAAATCATTTCATCAAAACTATTCTGTTGTTGTTGTTGTTGCTGTGGTTTGGTTTGGTTTGGTTTGGTTTCCCGTTTATCTCTATCTATTTTCCCTTTATTGTCAATATTATACAATGAATCAGCATAAATAATGAATAAATGAATTGAAAGAAGAAGAAAAAAACGATTTGTCCACAATTGGGATCCACAACACACACACACACACAACCCAACCCAAATATAAAAAATGATGATAGTCATGAAAAACAATCAATTTTGATTTCAAGTGTACGGTAAATTCTTTCGTTTTTTTTTCTTCTTCTTCTTCGATTGTCTGAAACTATATAATATTTTTTTGTTTGTTGACCATATTTATATTCTTTGGCGTCTAGATAGTTATTGTTGAATGAATGGCAAGAATGGTGTTGTCAGTTTATTTATAAATATGTCTTGCGTTTTTTTCTTTGTTTTTTGTTTTGTTTCATTTTAGCTTATTACGACATATTTTGTTTTTGTCTTTGATTTTACTGCTTCTTTTGTTGTTGTTTTTGTTGTTTCATATTTTAATTATTGATTTTTGTTGTTGAGTTTCAGATTTTTTGATTATATTCTCGCAATCCTTTCTATCTGTGTCTGTATGTTTGTCTGGTTAGGGAGGTTTATACATTTGAATAATTTATGAAATTTTATTTTGTATATGGATTTTTTTTTGTTGTTGTTGTTTGAAATGGAAAATTTCCAGAAAATGAATTTTCAAAATTCAACTTTTTTTTTCCTTCTGGTTATCATATTATATTCAAATTATCTTTTTTTTTACAAAAAGTCCATTTATAATAATCATCATCGTGTTGTTGATGATGATGAAAATCCCATGCTTGTTACAAATATATAAAGATATCATAGTGAATGGAATTAATGATAAGCTTAATTCATTTTCTTCTTCTTCTTTTTTAAATCCAGAATGAATGAATTGTGCTTCACAGAATTTTTTCTTCTTCTTGCTTGTTGTTGTTGGGTTGGATTTGATTCCCATCATCATCATCATCGTTTGTCTGATTTGTTGTTGTTGTTTCATAATAATATCCTTTTGAAACAAGAATATTCTTTCCATTTCAACCAACCAACTCCACCAACATTTTTCCCTTCAAAAAACAAAAAAAAAACGGTGTTATGATGATGATGGCCAAAAAAACTAAATCAATGTGAATAAATGTGACAAATTTTCTATGGACCATTTTCATATTTTGTGTATGAATAATTAATCTCTCTCTCTCTCTCTCTCTCGCTCTTTCGTTTATTTTCCCCTTGCTATTCTAAGCAAAATAATCAGCTAAACAACGACAACAACAACAACAAAAAGAGTAACTTGTTAATGATTACGAGTCTGGGCTCAGAATAAAAACAACAACTGTGTTTTTTGTTTTCGTTTGTCAGGGCGAGAGAAAAAAAAATCCCAGAAATATAATTCCTATTTGAATGAGAAAATTATTCATAATCAAAAAGATGGAAAAAATTTCCATAGTGTGTTTGGATGGATCGAAATAGAAAATATTCATGCCCGCTAGCTATCAATAAATTGGTGGAAATAGATTTCTTCTTTTTCTGTCTGCCAAAGAAAAAAATCCATATTGATGATTTATATTTTTTTTTCAGATTGGATTTTTTCTTTCTCTCGATTTTTCTTTTTCTGCTGTTCAAATCATCTTCTCCTTCTTATCTTCTTTTTTATTTCGTGTGTTTGTTTGCTACTGTAAACAAAATAGTCAAAATCTTACGGGTGTCGCCAATGATGATTCTTTTGTTTCCTTTTCTTATCCGGTACTTTACCAAAAAAAAAAAAACAAAAAACGGTTGACTTTGAAAACATTTAACCACCAAAACAGAAAAAATGATATAACTATCGCCTACACCATCATCATCTTCTTCATCATTATTGTCACTAGAAATATAATGTAGATATTGTTTTAAGCAGGAACACTGAAAAAAAATGGTGTTAAACTAAATGAAACGAAACATTGAAAATTTTTATATATATAGAAATCAGAAAAGCAAAGAATATATAAAAAAGCAATGAGATTTTTTTTTGTCCACTTTTTTTCCGTTGTTTGTTTGTTTGTAAATGTTTGGATGGATGGATGGATGACTGATTCTGGACCCTAATGATAATGTTGTTGTTGTTGTTGGCAATTAGGTTTTATTTTGTTTTTCTTTTTCTTCCCCTCTTTCTTTCGCTCTGAATACTTTGGATATCTGTGTGTGTGTGTGTGTGTGTGTGAGATAGATGAATAGATAGATTCATTTTTTTTTATACTTTTTCTTCGTTACTTTTCCATATCTCTCGGGAACTTTTTTTTCATTTTTTCTTTTTTCATTTATATAGAATTTCACAAAATAAAAAGAATACCTCTATGACAAAAGAATTGGTCTTGATTCAAAAAAAAAATTTGTTTTATCCATTTTTTGTTTTGCCAGAAATCATCTCTAGATATTCCTGATTCCATTTTGTTTTGTTTTGTGTTTTTTGTCGTTTTGTTTTGCTTTCCAATGATTCATTTTTTTATATTCTCGTTCTGGTTCATCATCATCATCATTGTTTCGATTCTTGTGTTTGTTTCCCCTTTTGTTCATTGCTTAAAGAATTTGATGATGATGGTGTTGGGGGGTAGTTAAATAAATGAATAAACGGAACACAAGAAAAAAAATGTGAAATTCACGCACGAATAACTCGAATTTATGAATGAATGCTATGCTGTGTTCGGTTTGGCCAGATTATTTTTTTGACCATTTGCCTTGTTTAGATTCGATTTTCGGTTTTTTGTTTTGTCTCTATATATCACAAAGAATCATATACCAAAAAAAAAGCTAAAGTTTTAAATTATGATCCATATTTATATTGAGTGAAAAAAAGAAAATTGTTTCCCTTGTTTCTGTCTTGCATCAGAACCAAATGATCGTGTTACCAAAATCATTATCATTAAATTGTTTTGGTTGTTTTCCTGTTGAATAAAACAAAAAAAAAACAGTGAAACAATTTGTATTTTGGTGTGAATTTTGTCTGTTGTCCTTGAAAAAAAAACGCAGCAGCAGAAAAATATTTTGAGTTTCAAAATATTTTTTTTTTGTTCCCTAGGTTTTTCATCAAGGAAAAATTTCTCGAAAAATTTCCTGGATGCTGAAATGTAATGGATATTTGCT